GCACTGATAAAAATGAAGATTCTACCAAATTAATTTTTTTTATTTAGAATGTTACAAGTACAGTTAATAGAAGATGATTTTAATTTTTGGCAAGGAATGATTAATAAATACTGTAATGAGGGGAAGAGAGCCAGAATAAATAAAAAGTATTGGTATAAAACAACAAAAAAGTGGAATAGGCAAACCTAATATAAAAAATTACTATTTGGCTAATCAGTTGAAGTTCATTGGGGAAATTATATATAACCCAGAAAGGTTCATTTGGTAGAAAATGGAATCCTCAGAATTACATGGGAATATTGAAAAACATCTATTTGGTATGATTAAGAAATATAAAATCAGCAAAATTAATAACCCATTTTAAAGACTATGTTAAATGTCTGGTACAAGTATAGAAAGAATTTATGTCCGTTTAACTCTCCATTAGGATTAGTGACTGAAATGGAGAATTTTCCTGCCAATATAAAAGTTTATGCAGAATTATTTAAAGAAAAAAGTGATTAGATTAAAAGACTGGGTGTATAAAATGAGATTGAAAGATCAAATGAAACAATTCCTTCAAAATAAGAATATATCATGGTTCAATTATATGCTGTTAGAAAGATGGACTGATGAATGGCTAAAGAGGTATAATAAAGGTAGAGGAATTACGAAGTATGAACAATTTCTATTATCATATGAAGAGATTTAAATGACCGATTCACTGAAGGGTGCAGTGAGTAAAAGTTATAGATTCCTGTTTGATCTAGAAGAAGAAGAGACTGAGAAAAAAAGGATTGAAGTTAGTGTGGGAACAAGACGTAGGAAAAAGAATAAATGATGAATGGAGGAAGATGTGGAAAATGAGGGTTTTACAATTTATGTTGGTGAGAATAAGAGAAATTTTGTTCAAATTGGGTTTAAGATGGTATTTGACACAGACAAATTGACAGACCCTTGAGGAAATTAACATGTGGTTTCCATATCCCTTCCATTTTCTCTTACTGTACTGGTGGTCTGTGAAGACAGAGTAGTCTTCGCACATTTCCAGTGCTTGCCACACTGCTATGCCAACTGTTGAGGTGCTGGTATCTCTGGGAAATGTTCCTCGTATCAGGACAACAGATGTCTAAATACAGTAAATGGATGGCAGAAGCAGTTTAGCTAAAAAATATCGAGCGAGACATAAGGCTTGTGTTATATTTAATGCATTCATTGTAAGTTCTCAAGTACATCCCTGGGTGGAAGAAGTCAAATGTTGGCAGTGTGACTGATAACAAATCCCTGTTGGGGGCAGAGACTGGGAGGTTCCAGTATGCATCAGCATACCTGAGATACTTAGATATTTTAATCCCTAAAAACATAAAGGACATAGCAGCCTTAAATCTCTCCCCATTCCTTAAAAAAAGATAACATCATAAAATTTAGAAGGATGGAAACCAGTTAAATCTTCATGTAAGGAAAAATAAACATCCTCATAAGAAATGTAATCCTTCCTATTATATATGTCTCCCAGGGACTACCCTGTTTTCCTGAAAATAAGCCCTAACCAGGGACTACCCTGTTTTCCCGAAAATAAGACCTAACCTGAAAATAAGCCCTAGTATGATTTTTCAAGATGCTCGTAATGTAAGCCCTACTCCGAAAATAAGCATCAGTTAAGTTAAACCCTGCTCTAATGCGTTTTTTGGAGCAAAAACTAATATAAGACCCTGTCTTATTTTGGGGGAAACACGGTAGCAGTGTACATCTTCAGAAATTCTTTCACTTAAATAGTTGAATTATTCTGACCATTTTATGGGAAATAGACTAAAAGCTTAGCATTGGAGAGGTAATGAAGTAGCATTGAAGTAGCAATCAGAAGAGGTGGATTTCGTTTCCCCAGCATCAAAATTTGCTATGTTATGTTCCTGTCCAACTATGGTACTGATTGGAGAGGGGCTAAAAACAGAATGTGTTACCATTATAGTTGCATGAAAGAACCTGGGAGGATCATTTCATCCTGGTGCCGTAAAGATATCAGTGCGACTTGATCCTGACACACTTGGAGACCACACACTGGTGGGCAATTGCAACATAAAAACTGGAGGCAAGCCACTGTTCTTGCTGGGAAACCTTGCCTGTTCTGTCTAATCCAGTTGCTCCACCCATTTATTCCTGCCTGTCTAAAGTGATCACTCTCTAAAGGGATCCAACCTTCACCCCACAAAAAACTCATTTATCAAGAAAGACAGTGATCCCGAAGGGATTCAGTCAGAGCTAATAATAACTCTACAAGTAGTTAACTGCCTCCAGCTCTGTTTTAGCTATTCCCACAACTCAAGCCAGAGGATAACCTTTATTTCTCTAGACATCCTTGTGACTTAAAACAAAGATCAGCCTTTCCTCTCAAAGCCACAAGCAGGAGCCAAATTACATGACAAGCATGGCCAAAGCAACAAGGGTAGAGTCAACAGTGGACTACCTTTCCCGTTCCCTAGTAAGACATACTAAATCACACAAGCTGCAGGGAAGATTTTGTACTGTATTCTGTTGAAAGATAGAAGAAGGCATATTGTAAAAAAATCAGTTAAAATACTGTTGGGGAAGTACTGACCGACAAATGATGTGTGCAGCTCCCAGAGCATAAACAAAGAACAGCCAACAAGACCATCTAACAGGATGCACAGAGGGAGGCCATTGGATCACAAGCTTCCCACTTATTTACAGTAGCCCCCAAGTAAGAAAGCTTGGTACTTTTCCAGTTAAGAAGCTTGCTGGTTGACCTTGGCTAACCAGGACAACAAATAAGCGGATGCGCTTTCCACGACAGTGCTTCTCCCAACTGTTGTGGAGGAGAGTCAACTGTACCACCCAGAGCTAGGCCTCAAAGCAAAATGGATTTCTTCGTAGTAACATTGGTAGAAAGACCTGGGAATCAACACCCCAGTGGTAGTTATTAACAGGGATGTTTATTTCAATTCCTTTGATTACCTCCTCCAAAAATGTTTTCTGGGAATACTGGCAAGTGAGAGACTGCCTAAGGGCTATTTTTAAGTCCCCCAAGGCACTTTGATATTGTATGCATAAGGGAGGCATTCCCACAGGCACACAGATTTTGACATTTCTGCGACAAAACTGAGCAGGACCCCATGTACCTGAGGGGGTCTTTGGATCTCTCCCAAGGAAACTATATTCCCATAGACATTTTTAAAAAATTGTCCTGGAACCTATGACTGCTCTTGTTACGCACAATAAGAGGAATGGACCAAACAGTCCTAATGGGGGTCATTAATTTCAAAGAGAAACAATGTAGTAGTGATGGAAGATTTCAGTTGTCCTGATATCTGTTGGGAGGCAAATTCTGCCAAATATTTTGGCCCTTCCAAAAATTTCCTGGCTTACGTGACTTAGAATTTTCTCCTACAAAAAGCAGAGGAAGAAATTCCTGACTTACGTGACTGATAATTTTTTCCTACAAAAAGTAGAGGAAGAAACTAGAGGACTAAGCTATCCTTACTTGATTCTAACCAATGGAGACAACTTGGTGCCAGGAAGGGGAACTCTGGGTGAGAATGACCATGTTCTACAAGAATTCTTGATTTCAAATGAAACCAAAGCAGGAAGGAGAACTCTGGGTGAGAATGACCATGCTCTACAAGAATTCTTTATTTCAAATGAAACCAAAGCAGAGTGTAGCCACACATATATGCTGGATTTTTAAAAAGCCAATTTTAATGAACTCATAACAACGATAAGTAAGGTCCTGTGACAAGAGATCCTAACAAGAAAAGGAGTCCAAGAAGGGTGGGAGCTTCTAAAAAAGGAAATTCTAAAGGCACAACTACTAACAATTCCAACAAGAAAAAAAAGGTGGGAGATGGGGGGGGGAAGGCTACTGTGGCTTCACAAAAATCTCAGAGAGGACCTGAAAACAAAAAAGGACACATATAGGAAGTTGAAGAAGGCCCTGCCACAAAGGAAGAGTACAGCAAGTAGCAAGGAATTGTAGGGATGGCAATTGTCCCAGAGTATAGGACACACAACAATGGGCTCAAGTTACAGGAAGCCAGATTTTGGTTGAGTATCAGGAAAAACTTCCTAACTGTTAGAGCAGTACGGCAATGGAACTAATTATCTCGAGAGGTACTGAGTGCTACAACACTGGAGGCATTCAAGAGAAATTTAGACAAGTCGCCTGGTAGATATCCTTTGATTTGTATTACTGCACTGAGCAGGGGATTGGACTCTATGGAACAATGATGGCACTTTATGCTCTGTGGTCTTCTCCAGTCATTGCTCCGTTAGACAATAAAGAATGACACTTTGGTAGTTTTGTATTTGAGACAGTACCTGTCTTTCTGTATGCTGGGATATTTGCCACTGGAAAGGAACATTGGAAGTAGAAATAGACTGTGGATCCTAAGGGGAAGCCTTACTAAGCACATTTTACCAAACTGGATGTTCCCTACCATATCAGACTTTAAATATTGGACAGAATCTGACTGCAAAAATGTAAATAGTAATAACGAGGAGAGGAGAAATGGGTCAAATATACCTATATTTTCAGACTGCCTTCTTGGTGCTGTTCTGTAGTTGAACTGTTTTGAAAAAGAACTGTGAAAGCTATTAGACCTATTAAAGCTTTCTTGTCCTTTTCCCTCTCAACCCCTCGCCACAAGTCTCTCTTCTTTAACATATTTGTCTTCCTTTTCTCCGTGCGCCTGTGGGAGTGGATGACCTATATAGTATATAAGTAGCCAGTGTTGTAGGCATACATACTGTACATAAATGTGATGGTTTGTCAAGAGCCGTGAGAGATATTGGGCAGTTTGCTGAAACCATTTCAACATTAGTTGTAAAAAGAGCCTCTCTTAATAGTGTTCCACAAGTTTAAATGTTATTTGATGTTCTAAAACTGCTTCCCACAACGACATTAATAATTCCTTAAATGGTTATCAGGAATGGAACTTAATTTTGAACTTGTTTGTTTTGGTGAAGATGCAGTGAGCTCACTTCAGATGTTTTGTCTTTGTTTCCAGAGAGCGGCTCTGACCTCCGATAAAGACCTATACCTTGACAACAGCTCCATCGAAGAAGCATCAGGCGTCTATCCAATTGATGATGATGATTATACTTCTGGGTCAGGATCAGGTAAGCCAACACTGCATAAGAATGTTATTAGGGTGCCATTACCTTCCATGCATAAGCCTCCAGGTTCAACCCCTGACATCTCAACATTAAAATAAAAATCAGGTAGCAGGTAAAGAGCTTGGAAAAGTTAATTTTTTACTTCCAGAATCCCCCAGCCAGACTGGCCACTGGTAACCTTTTTAGACTCTTGATCGGTAACGGGAGAGATCTTGGCCCTGACTTTCTTATTCTTGCTTAGAATTTTTACCATCGCAGGAAGATAGGCAATATATGACAAATGAGATGAGAATACTGAGATGAATCCAGAACTCTGAGATACCATCCCTTCCCAAGTCTAGAGCTCTGTTGGCTGTCCCCATTCTAGGTTGAAAGTAGACATGGGAGGCATCGCTTGAAGGATGTTCCAAGCATTGGATTGTCTCTGAAGATCCAGGAAGCCAAAGGAACTCCTGCTGAGAGCTGGCATGGAGAGTCAGAAGCATGGATATTTCTTCTTCACCTAACAGATATCCTAAGCACTGGTCATATACAGGATGGAGAGCAAGTCAATGCTCTTCTGCCTCTCTCTTCCTGCTCCACACTTGAGGTAGATGAGTGTGGTCTTACAAGTATGGGAACATATGGAATAAGTAGAGTACAGAAGATGCAGGATGCTGGCCTGCTACTGAAACAATGGTACAATTAGAATTTTCATTCAGAAAAGGCAGTAGACTGAGTTGTTGAAAGAGAGGGCTATTAGAATGGCAGGAAATGGCTATAGCTTTTTATTCCTCATCCTCTGTGAAATTTCATGCAGTTTTCTATAATATACAATATTACTACATTTTTTTTCCTGACAGGTCTTATTAGTTGAATTGGTTTTTAATGTTTTCTTGAGTCAAAATATGTTGTTTAAAAAGTTGATGCTCTGCTGTATTTATTTTAAAAAATGGGAAATGAGACATAATGGGGGTTTAGTACTGGTTTAGATCTTAACATGGACATTTATTTAAACAGTTGTCATACAGGGCTCCCTGTTTAATTCAGCCTTTTTTCATCTGCCCCCCCCTTCTGTGCAACCCGAGGAATGGAAAATTAAACTTAGAAAGCCTAGTACTACCAACAAAACTAATGTGGATTAAATTGCTTATGCAAATAAAAGAAAATGTAGTGAGTGTTTAGATTTCAGTACAAAATAAGCACTCCACAATCAGTCTGATAACTATTCATTTATATTTCTAGCTAAATGAATTCCACAGAATAAGTGTAGAACCTGTTGGATAGCCTTAAGGGCAGCTTCCCACAAACACCAGACTATACTATATGCCTAACTATTCCTTCACGTAAATTAGTAGTACGTATATGTATGTGAAAGCTTCTTTAAAAAACTGATTGAGTAAGGAGAATGATCTGAGCTAGCTGTTTAATTCCATGAAGCTACCATCTTGTTTGCCATTTCTAGAACTTGGGGGAGACTAATTTGGGGGGAATGCAACATTCGGAATCTCCCGGCCAGATTCCAGTGATTTTGTTACTATCTCTCATCCAAATTTCCTGGATGCTTTGTTCTGTGACTAAAGGGGTAAGGGAACCAGGTACAACTTCTCTGACCTTGTAGGAATTGACATGATTGTTGAAGGAGTAACTAGTAAACCTAAACATGGAATTTTCATAATTTTTTTCACTGTGATGTCGCTGGTTCAGAGGGTCTTTAAAATCAAAATGTTGTTTACAGTGGATTCCAAAATCCATTTGCATGCTCATAGATTTACTAGCCAACCAAAGACACAAAATATTTGCAAGTTTTTGCGATTTCAAGATCCCTTTATGGTTCATGTTTGCTTTTCTTTAGGACAGAAAATTTATTTCTAAAATATATACTGTATATTAATTTTTTTAAGTATTTTAAAAATAGAGATGTCTGTCTACATATGTATTCTCCTGAATGTCCTTCCTCTGCTTTAGGAGCGGAAGACCAAGAAGATAACTCAGAGTTAGGGCCAACATTTAGAACACTTCCAGAGCGTCCAGAGATACCAGTTAGCGATGCTCCTAGGATTGAAAGAACTACACTGAAAATGCAGACCAAGGTACCTACGCAAACAAAGGTGTGTGCAGAAGGTGGTGGTTGGTCGTTTTAAATTACAGTATTAAAATATAACCTTAGATGCCATTTGGTATATGCTGTAAGAGGATTTACTAGATTTAGTGCAAAGCTGTGGATTAACCATAAAGGCTGTTCTATTTGATATTATAACAATCTATTAGAAGAAACATAGAGCTTGGGTCTCCTTTTTTGAACCAAATGTGCACCTATATTGAAGAATCTTTAAACGATTCTTCTCTTTTAATGAAGACGTCAGTTGCTCACATGTATGTACAGATTGTGTTTTCTTGTTTTTACTTGTATGTTCCTGTGAGATGCATAGGCAGAAATGAGGGAGGAAACATTGAATTCAGTTCAAAAAGCTTTTTTTCCACATTTAACATTAACATTTCTTTCGAGGGGACTAGGGCCAGATTTTTCTAGTCAAGCATCTGTAAGCTGGTAATCTCAAAAATATTTTGGTTCCCACTACAATGTGCCTGCAAAACAAAAACTTTTTGATGTGTTTTGGTTGGAAACAGGCATTAAAAATCTTGTCTTTTCTGCGATTCTGCAACATTGTGGGAAGAGGGTGCAAGTTTGCAGGGAAGCAACAGTGATTTTGGGGTGTGTGTGTGTGTCTTTCAGCAGTTCCGGCTGCTGCTGCCTTAAAAACCTTGTCTTTTCTGCGATTCCGCAACATTGTGGGAGGAGGGTGCAAGTTTGCAGGGAAGCAATAGTGATTTTGCGGGGGGGTGGGTGTCTTTCAGCAGTTCCGGCTGCTGCTGCTTTTCCTCTTTAACCTTTCCAGGATAAGGACGTTGCCAAATGCCTCAACCCAATCACAGAACTTACAGTTCCAAAATAAAAATGGAATGGAAATATTTGGGAGAACACTCTTGTGTTTCATGTTTTGATACATCAGCACTGCAAGCTCCTTGTGTACAAATGATAGGGACAGCAGTATGGGAAGTTTGCCTTCTGTTGTGTCGAACTATGAATCTGTGGTGTCTGCACTGCGTGGCATTGTTCCTCTGGTTTCAGATAGCAGGTATTTCTGTGCTGGGCTAGGATAAGAACCTGGAACCAAGTGAAAGCAAGACATGTGTTGTGTAAGTGAACAATCTGTCTTAAGCTACATGGTTAAAGATCACTTCAGTAAGATCATTAGGAACTGCGGATAGCTCAGTGGTTTAGGTCTCTGGCTGCAGAGCCAGAAGTTGGGAATTCAGTTCCCCACTGTCTTCTCGATAGGGCCTGGACTCAGTGATCGATAGGGTCCCTTCTAGCTCTCCACTTCTAAGAAGATTGCAATATGCAGGAATACATTTGAAGTTTAAATTTAAATTTTATGGATAAAACAAACTATATAACACAATTGGATTGTATAAACTGTTAGGAGGTTTCCAGGAGCAGACTGAGTGGAAATACTTTTTCTTCTCCAGTTGCCGAGTAAGCAGGAAATACTCAAAGTATATTACATCATTTTAAACTGAGAGTGATAATATTTGTGACAAGCACGTGTGGTTTCTTGTGGTTTAAATGTTCTCATTGCTCTGTGTTTTTGCTGCCTCATCTTCTGCTACAGTCACCTGATGAGACGGATAAAAAGAAGATCCTCAAGCCAGCTGCAGAAAACAAAAATACGAAAAACAAGCCAGCTGATGATGATGATGTATTTACTGAAAAGCACTCGGAAAGTCTTTTTCAGAGAACGGAAGTACTGGCAGGTGAGTGCTGCGGTTTGTGAAGCTACATGAAAAGCTGAGAGGGGTGTAGTTCTCTCCCGTTTGAAATTTCCTGCTTCCATTTTCAGGGAAAATATTCACACATCTGTGGATGCATTGCTTTAAGAGTATTAATTTGGATCTGGCTTCCTCTGCTGTGAGGAAGGGCAGGATATAAATCAAGTAAATAATAAATAGTAATAAAGTACTTTCCTACATAAGTAATATTAAATCCGCCCCTTAACATGGGGACATTTTTCTCCTTGAGGGATAATATGGAAATAAGTGAAAGTTTTTCACCTTGGGGGGTTGGGGGTTTTTATTGCGAAGAATAGGAAAATCTCATACCTAGGAATCAGAGGTGTATTTCTTATTGTGTCTGTAGTTTGAAACTAACGTGGTAGGATGCAAATGCTTTTGAACTCAGTGGGGCCTTGTTTCCAAGCAAAGACAGTTAGGACTGAATTGTCCAACTGAAAACAAAGGAAATTTTACTTTAGCATTAGTCAGAGCATAGTTTGCTAGATGTTTTGGCATTGCTTCAGGGGAGATGTATTGACACTGTTGGTATTTACCTCAGAACTAACTATTGTTTTGCATTTGATCCCAATATTTTTGTATATTTCTGTATATTTTAGATGTTTTATTGGTGTCTGGTCTTTTGATAATAAAGTTTTATCTATCTATCTACTTTAACATTAAAAAGTTGATTTTCTGAAAACAGTTTTCAGACTTCCCCAAGCTTTGGACTAAACATTGTAAAATGAAAATGTATCTATAAACTGAGCAGTTGTTATGCATCGAGCCAATCTGAAATATTAGAACCCAAAAAACCCCGAATTCATTCTCCCCTCCACCAAGAGGGACTAATTAGAGGCCATGCATCATCCCCTATCATTTCTTGTGAAACATTTGTTCTCTTTCTTTTGCAGCTGTTATCGCTGGTGGAGTTATTGGCTTTCTCTTTGCAATCTTCCTTATCTTGCTTTTGGTATATCGTATGAGAAAGAAGGATGAAGGCAGCTATGACCTCGGGGAACGTAAACCATCCAGTGCTGCCTATCAGAAGGCACCTACTAAAGAGTTTTATGCATAAAACTCTCAACGTAGTGTCTCTGTTTAAGAGATCACTGAACTTTTAAAATAAAGCTTTTTTTTGCATAGAATAATGAAGAACTTTTTTTTTCATTAAAGAGCCTTTATGGCAGCTTTATGATTAAAAAAAAATCCCATTGTATTTAAAACTTTTCATGTATTCCTTTTAAGAAAATGTAAAGTAAAATCTTAACATTTTGCAATGTTCCGTGAATAACAGTGGCAAAACATTATTTTATATAGCCGTTGATGTTCACTGGATCATTTTAAAACTTTATGCATAAATGAAAATGATTGTTTTATCCTATGGTTCAATGAAAGTTGTTTAATTTTTGTCAGCATGTCTGATTTATCTTACAAGTTAGTTTTTATTTCATTAATTTATCTGCTTCCAAAAATAAAACAAAATGCCTTTTTGTAGTTGTCATGGTGCAATTTGTCTTCGGATAACTCAAATAATGGTAACTCTTAGTGTAAATGTATTTTTTCAGCTATGTAAACCTTAATCTCCACTTTGTATAAATTTTACTGTCAGAAAATCCATTTACACTTTGCTTTATTTTTCAGTGGTCCTGTAGTTTCCTTGAAACTTACAGCACCAAATTATATGTAAAATTGGACTATTACTGCAAATAATGTAGTCATGCCCTTATGAAACAAATCTTCCTTATGCAAGATATTGCAGTAAGCTACTGACAAACCTACACAAACCCAAAGACTCTTAACAGTATTCCAAGAAATTACTACAAATTTCTATGGCCACTGTTTGTTAATTTCTGGAAATTTGAAGGTACGAGTAGAAATTTTAAAAGATTTTTTTTTTATTCTTATAAAAAATGCATTTAAGTTGTAAACGTCTTTTAAAGCCTTTGAAGTGCCTATGATTCTATTATGTAACTTGTTGCAAACTGGTGTTAATGAGTATATAACAGTAAAAAAAGAAAATGTTGGTATTTTATAAGCACAGACAATTCTAATGGTAACTTTTGTAGTCTTAGCTGGATAGACATAAATTGTAATTTGGGAGCATAAACACTACTGAATAAATCATGTGGCCTAATACTGAAATACATCATTGTTGATTTTTGTTGCCATTGTTGTTGTTCTATTTTACATATCGACAACTTTGTCTATATTCTCACAGATCATCCTGCTACATAATACTGTAGTGGGATTTGTTGGAAATGAAGGCTCGAGCAACTTGCTAACCAATATATCCTACTAAAAGTAACAGCACTGCCTTGTTAAAATGTAAATATCCTACAAGGGTTAAATCATTTTAATGATCCAGAAATGTTAGCAACATGTGCTACTTCTATCCAGTTCAGATTCAAATGAATATATAGTTGCCATTCTCCATGCATAATGAATACCCAACTTAGAGTTCAGATCACCAACATAGTAGTGATAAGAAACTGAAAGTATTGGGAATGGTTCCACCCCTTGTAAGTCTCTGTGTTGAGGATTCAAAACAGCTACAGTGCAACCAGAATGTTAACTGGGCATCACATGTTGTAGAAATCTTGGCCATAGTTTTTCAGAAGAAAATTGTTAAAGGAGACAGAAGCAACAGGTGGAAGACTGGGTGTTTAACTTTTCCATCGTTGCAAAGACAGGTCAATAAGCTACGTTAGGGACGAATGATCAAAAGATGGATTAAATTCTTGCCTACTGCTATTTCCCTGAAAATCTCACTTTATGCTGTGCCATCACTTGTCTTTTTGCATTGGAAATATGGCAACTAGGCATCCCAGACATGTGATGGTGACAGGAAGCCATTCAAATGCCCTTAACATCTGTGTCTGCCACTGCAAAGATCATACAGATGTTGCCTATCTCTCTGTATAGCAAAGATGTGAAACTTGCGGGTCTCCCAGTGTGGTTGTATTGCAGTTCTCATAATCTCTACATATTGGCCATTGTATCTGATGCTTACAGAAGTTGAGAATCATCAGGATTATTTCCCCAGCACTGCTGTGAAATCTTTGTCAGTGGATATGGAAAAGAGAGATGATAGGACATGATGTAGGTGTAGTAAGGATGGTATAGGGAAGGAATAGGATCTGCAGTCCTGTACATGTTGGAATATAACTTGCATCATCCCTTACAATGGAAGTTAAACAGAATCTAGAGGAGCACATGCGTCCTGCCACAGATTTTAAACAGCACTACAGACTGCAGAAATGCTTGAAACAATAGTTATCCCAGAAGGGGCTTGAGAAATAAATAGCCATATACCATTGTTTATGAACAGTACATGGAACTGTTCATAAACATGTTCATTCCAGCTTTTCCCACTGCTAGCACAAGGGAGAAACCAGTAATCTCATGTCCAATTAAAACTACCTGTACCCATTTTTTTAACTCAGCAATTTTTGACTTGCGTAACTGCAAGTCAGAGATTTCTGGGGCAAATGCCCGAGTGCTCCAACTATGGAGTCCTTACTTCTACGTTTGCCAGCAGGATTCTGGTGAGATTTTAAAAGGACAGGAGACAGATAATGCACATGAAGGTAGAAGCAGAATTAAAGGAAATCAAGCACTGCTCCTAACTGTTGCAACATGCATGGAAGAAGCATCCATAAAAATATTCCACACCTCAGATGGAAGAAGACATCAAAACTGCCCATCTTTTATGTTGTAGGGCTGCTAGCTGAAAAAGTAAAGCACAGCAAAGTGTGCTATTTAATCAACAACTTGAAAATTAACAAATATACAGTAGCTTTCTTCTTTTGATTTGGCACAAGCGGAAGTATTTTGAAATTGTATACAAGTGTTTCTTAATTGCACAATATGAAATGAGGCTCTGTTATATAGATTCTTGACTATGTTCCAGATTCTGTGGTACATTAGATCAGCAGGAGAGCACCTCTGCTTAGGCAAGATGATCCCACACACCTTTGCAATCCCCCCTCTTGCTTTCTGGTACAGTCCCAGGAATCCCATCCAGTGCCATTGTATGATTTCCACTGATCCCTGAGCAGATTTGCCACCCAAAGCATCCACCCAATACAGCTATCTGGTGGTGAACATGCACTGGTAGACCTGCCATAGATATGTTGTACTCTTAGTTTCAGGCCTTGTCCAGAAACAAAATTCACTTATGTAAAGTTTCAGCATAGTATTTTTCCCATCATCCAAATGATGTAAGGCTTATCCTGCCGTGTGTCCCTGCTTTTTTTGTGCTTTCTGTGTCCTTGCTAAAGACATGGTTTGCTTTGTCCTGGGCTTTGGGGGGGTGGGATGCCGAGTTTAATACTATGATACTTTCTGCTAAAGTTCAATGGGAAGTTTTTAATTAGCACTCAAATATAGGTGGGGGAAGGAGTTCTTCAGAAGGTAAGCTATGTCAGAAAAATGGATTTTAGCATATTTTTCCAAGGGTTTAAAGATTTAATGAAGAGTTTTCAAAGAGATGCCTCTTCAAGTTGCTGTTTAGATGTGACTATCAGTCACTCTCCTTTGCAACTAACCCTGAGCAAGGGGGTGGAGATTTTTCTCCATGTGAAAGAGCCCATAGATGGCTAATGCTGGGTAACAGCAGTAAGATGTTGAAGGACTGAACCATATGCCATGCATCTTCTCCTGAATCCTGTGTCCTGCATCCTCTTAGGCTAGCTTGCTGCCTTCAGGTGTAACTGATGACACTGCCGATCACCAAAGATTCCATTTCTTCTCCAGCTGACTTCTATATGTGAAGTGAGGGAAGGGCACATCTTATATACTTCATGTCAGCTAGTAAAATGTTTTAGGCTGGACATAAATACAGAAAAGCAGAACTTAGTGATTTCAGGATGCTGAGTGTTAACTTTTGTCTTGCCCGAACTCCATTTCATTAGGCTTTTTTGGCTCCAGTACCAGGCCAGGGCTATAATAAGGCAAGGTTCTGAAGAAGACTCGTTAGTCCTTTCCACCTTATGTATTTATACCCCACCATTGTTCCAATGATCCTCCTCCTTCCACATGTTACTCCCATAATGGCTGTGTGGTAGATTACACTACATGAGAGTGACTAGCCCAAGATCACTCAGACAATTTCATGGCCTGGACCTCTAGTCCAGTGGTTCTTAATGTGGGCGATAATGCCCCCCAGGGGGCGATTTCATTTTTCAGGGGGGCAGCAGAATGAAAAGGGGCGGCGTGGGGGCGCTGGAGCAGAAGGGGGGCGGTAGGGGGGCACTGGAGTAAGCCAAACCTGTGAAGATGGCTGCAGCCTTTTTACAATGTGCATGAATATCCTCCAATCTTAATTTAGTTTCAGAGTTTTTGTCTTGAATTTTTTAGTTCCTGCATTGCGGTTTGTTTTTATGCCCTTTTTATATTTCTTTTTGCATCTTAAAATTCGCTTCCAACTAAATCATTAAATGTTACTTTTTGGGGGCATTTCATTTTCTTGGAATTGAATTTTTTTTTCCAGGGGTCATTGGATTTAAGTGTCATAAATAAATAAATAAATTAAACAAACACACACACACACGCACGTACGTACCTACGTACGTACGTACGTACATACATACATACATACGATATCACCATGGCGAGTGGGGTGATGATAACTTCCTCAATGGCTCAAGGGGGCGTTTCTTTCAAAAAGGTTAAGAACCACTGCTCTAGTCCAACACACTTAGGAACACAGCAAGGAATATAGATGTTCTACTGAGTTGGCCAATTGGTTCATAGAGCCCACTATTATCAATTCTAGAAGCGTTTCAAGCAGAATTCTCTCCTAGCTCTACCTGAAGATCTCTTGTTATTCTCCATTAGTCTCTCATCTGTATACCAAGAAACGTGACCCTGCTTAGCTTACAAAATCACGCAATATCTAGAATCCATTGATAAGAAACATGTCTCACAGTAGCTGTAGCTGGGCACTGGGTCCAAGCAAACACACCAAAATGAAATCTAGACATAGCTAAAGTACTGCCGACACACATAAAATCTTGTGGTGAACAAGCATTAATTATGGTTCATTCTTTCATAAGTGCCTTAATCACAGCTTGCTTCCTAAATATAATTAACAGTACACTTAAAGTAATATTTAGCCATTTGACATAGCTTATTAATTTTATATTAATTACAGGGCTTCATAATCTAATAGAAAGTGGGTGTTGGAAACAATGAAAAGACAAAGTAGATACCACTATTAAATAGATACAATTTTCTGCACTGAAAATAAAATGTTTAAATACTAGTTTTAGCTCATAAAGCATGCTCCACAGTAAGGTTAGTAATCTGTACACAGCATTTTCATCAAACACTGGCCAAAATCCGTCTGCAATTTTTATACTATATAAAGTGGTCAGTGTAAACCTCACCAGGGAATTTCCACAAGTTAAGATATCTGTATAGGCATTTGCTATTGTGCATCATGTAACAGCAACCATGTACTCTGTCTTCCTAATTTCTGCCAGTTCATACCCAGATTTACATCAATGATACTATGCTGGCAGAAGTAGCTAATAAGACTTTGGCCACTCTTTATATTATTGACCATGAATGAGATTTTATCTTTTCTTGTTTTTGTGTTGTTTAGTTGTTAAGTCATGTCCAACTCTTCATGACCCCATGGACCAGAGCACACCAGGCCCTCCTATCTTCCACTGCCCTCCAGAGTTTGGTCAAATTCATGTTGGTAGTTTCGATGACATATCATCCATATCATCCTCTCTCGTCCCCTTCTCCTCTTGCCTTCACACTTTCCCAACATCAAGGTCTTTTCCAGGGAGTCATCTCTTCTCATGAGATGGCCAAAATACTGGAGCCTCAGGATTTGTCCTTCCAGTGAATGCTCAAGAGTTGATTTCCTTGTCTTTGCAGTCCATGCTTAAGAGTTGATTTCCTTGTCTTTGCAGTCCATGGGACTCTAAAGAGCCTCCTCCAGCAACACAATTCAAAAGCTCGCACTTCCATACATTGCTACTGGAAAAACCATAGCTTTGACCATGCAGACCTTTGTCAGCAAGTGATGTCTTTGCTTTTTAAGATGCTGTCTAGGTTTGTCATCGGTTTCTTCCCAAGAAGCAGGTGTCTTTTGATTTTGTGGCTACTGTCACCATCTGCAGTGATCATGGAGTGTTTACATCCTTCTAAATCAATGATGTGGTCCAATAATTTGGAGCCGTGTGTTGACTTCTGGTAATTCCATCTCATAAAGTTTTTTGAACAGGTGCTGGAAAAGGTACAAGGCAGCGCAAGCAAAATAATGATAAGGAGTTAGAATACCTTGCCTATGAAGAAAAGCTAAAGCATTTGAAGCGTTTAAACAAATTAAAAGATGGGCATGAGTAGGAAAGTTTTTTTTTTTTTTTTACTCTGTATCTGGAAACTAGAAATGACCTGACTGGATGTAATTATTATTCTGAAGCTGCTTGTGCCTCTGCTGTGTCCAAAAAACAGCCCTCACCTGCACCAGCCCTGATGCAGTTCATTCTCTCCCTTTGAACACAATTGTTAATGGAAAGAGAGAGGAGAATATGGAGAGATATCACTCCCCACAAAAAAAGGTTCTTCAAAGCCCCTCTCCATCTTCCTGAGCCAGCAAAGCTTGACAGAGGTGGGAAACATCTGTCCCACACTATGTTGTTGAACAAAAACTCACATAATCCCTTACCATTCATAGAAATGGGAGATGTTTGTTTTTAGTCCTAACTCTGTGCAGTGAAGTCAATCCTGGCAATCCTTTTCAGGGGGTTCCAGACAGAGAATACTCAGAGGTGGTGTGCCATTCCCTTCCTTGTTGGAGGGGGGCCGTGCCCTGGGATTGTGCAGCTTGCCCGAGGCCATGCAGGCTGGTTCTGCTCCCAGGAGACCCAGTGGGGAACTGAACTCCCAGCTTCTGGCTCGGCAGCCAGATACCTAACTCACTAAGCAATCCAGTCAGGAATTTAGGTACTGTATCATTGTCCCACAGTTCCCTAAATATTCCAGCATGTATGGCTACAGTTATGGAATATTTGGGGAGCTATAGTCCAAAATCCAAACATTTCCCTTCACTGGCCATTTATGCTGAGGCCGAGACAAAACTGTAAACCAAAATATCAGCAGGGACTAAGATAGTGTCTGGTATAATATGGCTTACCTTCTGCTGTGCTATAAATGTACAGAGGCCTTTCTTTCATGAATGAAAAAGTGGAGCCCTTCATAGGTTGTTGGCCTGTAATTCTTTGCTGTCACCTATACTGGCTGAGGCTCATGGGAGTGACAGACATCTGGAGGACCCCAGGCCCTTCCTGAGAAGGCCAAAGACTGCCTTCATACTGTACACCCTTGGGGTTTGGGTGTGGAGTGCAGTCACACCATATATACAAGTTTTTTTTTCCTGTGAAACAACCAATATTCTACTTACAGATTCTTTCAGTACCGTTTAGTCGGAACTCTCCACTATGTCCTGTCCGTCTTGGGTGTCCCTGCACGGCATAGCCCATAGTTTCTCTGAGTTACTCAAGCCCCTTCGCCACGACAAGGCAGCAATCCATGAAGAAGTTATGTATATGTATATGCATGTATAAAGCCAAATCTTATTAGTACTGAAAGAATCTATAAGTAGAATATTGGTTGTTTCACAGGAAAAAAAACATATATATATATATTTACAAAGCATTACATTGTGAAAGAATTATTAAATCCAAAAGGTTAGACAAATGTTTCTGTCAAACCTAAGGAACCAGCCAAAGATATATTGTTAATATCATACCTTATATATATGAGCAATCATTACTTAAGCATTTAACAAATAAAGCTAAGCCAAGGGACCATTATTCATGAGACATGCAATAAATATACAATGAGATATCAGCAATATTGCACAGCAAACATGCATAGACCCTTAATCACAGTTTTAAGAAATCAAATTTATGACATCTCTGACTCCATGGAAGTAATGATGGCTTCCTACACATTTTTGCACATTTATTGGGTATTGCTGCAGAAAACTGAAGCCAAGGCATTTGGACCAAAACTTTAGATCTTGCTATTTTACTGTAGATTTTTATTTTACACATATCTAGGACAGGATGCTTCATGACATAAAATACACTAAAATGTGTAACAGGGATAAACTGAAGTATATACTACAAGGATTCGCTTCAGCTCCACAGGCCCAGCTGTGTAACTAGGAGATAGAGATGTATTCCAATACACTTTGTCCATGTTTTCCAGATGTTTGATTTATGGAGCATGACCCTTTTTCCCCAGGATTAAAATTGGAGGCACATTTCACTCTGCTCTCATCTTCCTTGTAATTGTGAGATTGCTCAGTTAACATTGTCTTCTGGCATCTTGCCTTTACCACCCAGTTAGTCAGGGGTCAAAGATGGGTCTGTGCTTTCCTCAAAATAGTTATGTATGTGACACATCTCTTTCAGAGGCACAAAGAAATCCTACAGTGTCCTGATTCCTTCCCTGCCACAGCCATGTACTGGCAGAGCTTTTTGTATCAGCCCCTGCACAGGGCTGACCTGTTTTGAGGGGACAAGGCAGAAACAGATGAGTTGTCAGCTTTGCAGTTAGAAGGTGACAAAATGTTGTCACTCAGCCTTCCTATTGCAATGTTCAAACATGCATTGCTTCAAAGGTGCTGTGCGATCAATTTTTAAATGAACCTCTTGCTTATTTCCTGACGAATAATCACCAAATTAAGCAAGATAATCAACAACTGTAAGGGTTTCAGAAACAACAACGGGAAAAAACAAACATTCAGGAAGCTTCATTTGTAATTAAAATGTTCTTGACTTACTCTTGTCTCCATTAGAGCAGTAAAAAGGTAAAGGTTCCCCTTAACAATTTGTCCAGTCATGTCCGACTCTAGGCGGTGGTGCTCATCTCCGTTTCCAACCCAAAGAGCTAGTGTTTTGTCCGCAGACAATCGTCCATGGTCACGTGGCCAGCGTGACTAGACACAGAACGCAGTTTACCTTCCCACCACGGTGGTTCCTATTTATCTACTCGCATGTTTGCATTTTGCATGCTTTCGGTGGTTTATGGCAGTACAGTTCTATATGCCACCACTGAGAGCAGGACAAGCACATTTTCAGCCTTCCCTTTGGGGGCCTAACTAGCACAAACATTGTCTTTATTTTGGTGGTAAGTGAAAGCCTGGCTGTTCATCTGAACATTTAGCATGTATGGTCTGCCAGTATCTGTTTTGTTTTAAATAGTTATACTGATTTAAAGTTGTTTCTAAAGCTCTTAAAATTGTTGTAAAGTATCTGAATTGTCTAGATTCAGTTAAGGTAAATGTGTTGAATAGACCCTCCCTGAAGGTCTGTTAATATGGAGTGGGTTGTAAACATATAAACATACTGATACCCAGTGTAGTGTCGTGGACGGAATGGTGGACTAGGTCTCAGAAGGTCTGGATTTGAATCCTTGCTCAGCCAAGGAAGCTCACTGTGTGTGTGGAACTGGTAAAACCACTCCTTAAATATCTTACTTGCCTTGAAAGGCCTGTTAGTGTTGATATATGCTGATTCCAACTTGACCACACATAACAAGATATAAACGTAGCTGTAAATAAATAAGACAACTAACACATATATCATGATCAGCATCTGTTATCCAATAGAACCTTCTGCGCAACGATTTATCAGTGTTACATATCTTTTAAAAGGCACACTGCAACAATCCCTGAAGAACATTGTGTTTCAAAATGACTCAATTTGCAGCGTAGAGTGATATAAACATGTTGTCTTATGACCTGAGACAGAGCAAGGTCCAGGGGGTTGGACTCGATGGCCTTATAGGCCTCGTCCAACAACATTATTCTATGATGTTCCGCAATTTTTCTTCCAGATCCTGGAAGGAACAGCAACAACACATGGGGAAGGAGACGGGCAGAGAATCCTTTCATATTATTCTCTTCCACTCCAGTAGCTCAATGGAAAGAACAAGTTCTCAAGCTGAAGCCATAGAAAAGCTGGGAAGAGACCAGCTTTATCAGATGCACTATCTCCCTTTCTTATATCCAGGGCCAATTTACGTGCTGGTTAGGAACTTATAAAATCCTAAATACCTTGGGCCAGGTTACCAGACTGCCTTTTCTTGTATATATACCTAAATATCCTCTTAGGAAGACCTGTTCTATGGTCTGCGCCAAATGAAGTGAGGTAGATGACTGCAAATGAGAGAGCCTTCCTGGTCGTGGCACCTAACTGTAAGTTGCCTTGTCAGACAGACTTGCTTGGCGTTTGCTTTATGCTCTTTTTGTTGTAAAGTGAAAACTTATATCCACCCAGTTATTTTGAAAACTATCACTGGTTCAATATGATTTGTAGTAAGAAGGGTCACTAATTGTTTTAGGGTGGCTCTGTTAAAAGAAAGTTTTTAATGTGGCATTTTTTTGGCTGACTGTTCATTGTATTTGCCTTTATATGTTTCTTATTTTAAATATTTTATTGTTTTGAATACTTTATTTTGTTTTGCTTGGTTAGTCTTCATGTATTACTCACCCAGGAATTATTTATTCATAGGCATCCAAATAGATTTAACTAAACAGTTACCTTAATTTGGCTCCCCTCTCCCTCAATTTTCAAGGAGGCCTTTATACAAATGTCATAATTTCAAAGATTGGTGACAAAATTTGCTTGCTTCCTTCCACTCTCCCGATCCCTTTTTAAATTTTGCATCGTGAGTTTTGGACTTTAAATCTGCATACATAAACTTCTTCATTGCTATTGATCTTGTGAAAGTCACTCTGAAAAGCTTTTCAGTTGAAAATGCTTGAAATAAATACATGCTTTAAAGAAATAATAATCAACAACTCTCTGTGGGTTTATAGTGCAAGAGAAAGAAAGAGCAACAGAACAGTATCTGGTACCTGCTGAAAGAAAATCAGTGCAAAAAACATTCACAAACCTTAATGGACAATTTTCAATGCAGCATGGCCCAAGATTCTGATAAGCATATTTTCAAAAAAACAGTCATTTCCCTATGACCTACATAGAAGGGATAAGTTTGTATTTAAAGGCTATTAAATACTGTTTGGAATCTTATGAGTTATGTTGGTGTAACTATAATTGTGCAAATGGTAGCAGTAAATGGTGACTACTTAGTAAGTCATCATTTGTATTTCTTGTTGTGAGAGCTGGTACATAACAAAGGATACATGCAACGATTTGTTAACTAGTAGCAGTTTGCCACTGCATTTTACATCACTACACTCACACCAATATAATTAACCAACAGAGTTTAGGTCACTTTTTAGTGATTTTGAAACACAAACATGGTTGCCAGAATTGAGTAAGACTGGGACTAATATATCTTTGTTACATCAGCTTTTAGAACACAATCTTCTTTAGGTTCTAGGGATGAAATCTGTGAGGTCCAATTTTCCAGCCAAAGTGTGGCTGCAAAATCAGTCAACTCCATAAGGCTGTGTTATATTTCTATATACATTGTTTCTGTGACTTCACTCTGAATACCAGTGGCAATTTGCATCCTGTCCAGAGATGTGCACCCGATTAGTGCTAAGAACCCAGCATAAAATGTGCACAGTTGTATGGAACCAGAGGTCTATCTAGTCCATCATCTTCCTTCCCACAACGATCCATCAGGTGGGTTTCTAATGAGCCCCTAGCAGGGAATGAAGACAAAGTACTAGGTTTGGTTGCATGGAAATACATATTTGCTGGAACATTTTCTAACCCACCCTGCATCAACAGATGTCAGAGCAGAGTGCAATCAGTGAAGTCACTTTAAAAACAATCTAATGCAATTTAAACAACAGCTTCATTCAGTCAACCTTGAAGCATGTATAAAAGTATCTTACAAAATTTACACAACAGCTTTATCCAGTCATCCTTGAAGGATGTAAAATAAACACATAAGAATGTGTTAACCCCACACTCTCCATTGTTCTCTACGTCTGGGTCTGAAGAGGAAAACCTCCATTATCCCAGGAGGCTCACCAGTGGGCTGGAAATCCAGAAAATCAGGGTCTTATTTACATGGTGAGCTTCCATGGGCAGTGGACTTCAGCAGGCATATCTGAGAATGGAAACTATAGAATCTAGTATGTAATGTGTCAGGAATTGCTAAATTAAAGCTCTGAAATCTGTTGACTAAGATTGAAATCCTGTTGCATATTTACACAACAGTGTAACTTTTAGAGACAAATTGCCATGAATAAATCTGTGTAGACTTCTGTTACACAAGTCACACAACTCAGTATGTAATAGATAATGTATATGGTGATTTCCTTGAACTACACTTATTTCCAAAAGTTGTGCAGTGTGCGTAACTGTGCAACAGGATTTCAACCTATATATATCTGGCTTGTGGAACAAAAAAAGGGCATTCTTCTTCATGTTGGCTATGAGATTGTAGAAATTCTGGTCCAAAAAAGTAACTTTTCCAAGCTCTGCAAAATACATTATAGAAATGCAGAACAGATTCTGTTGGGAGAAGGCAACATATACTCTAGATAGGCTAATTCCAGTCTGTTGGGAAAGTGACCATTTGTAAGCTTTTGGTCACAATATAGGATGGAGTTGTTTGCAACCCTGTCTGATCCCAGGAGGAAAATCTGGAAATCATTACTGGGAAGTGGCAAATGAGTCGAGGTTTTGTGAAACATATGTTTTTTCCATGCTAGAATTGTTCCCACAATGAGTCCTGTGACAGAATTATTGTGACATTAGATTCCACAAAATTCTTTTTGTAAACATCAGAAAGACACACATACGGTAACATTCAGGGCCTATTTTATTGTTAGCATGAACATTCGATGATGCCATCAGTGGAAAAAAAACCTGAATTGGCATGCAATTCAAACAAGCATACCATTTCCAGAAAAATTTTCTCGAGAACCCAGTTACAAATAGTGGCCAGGATCTTGTTATTTATGTCAATGCAGTGCAGTGCTTTGTAGTGGATAGTGTTGGATTAAGACTCAGAAGACCTGACTTGAAATCAGTGCTTAGCCATGGAAACACATAGAAGAGTGTTTGCCACCAAGAAAACTACTCCTTTAATATTTCACATATCTTGGAAAGGCAACTAGGGTCCCTGTAAATTGGGATAGATTTGATGGCACTTAACACACACAGTGGCATAAACTGCTGCAGTTATTGGTGCTAGCTAACGATTCCTCACTTGTATTCCTCGTTATGCACAAGCCATATGACTTGGCATCCAAGAAGGAATACAAGTGACAACTGCTTAACTGGTGGCAATTAATTACTGCCAGTTACGCCATTGCACTTATGCTGGTGTTAAGTACCCAGTAGGAATCTTGCCACAGGTTTCCAAATGGAGAAAAATACATTGTACTGGTTGTTCCAAAGGGTACAGATATTGTCCCTCACTTAAACTGGACAAATGAATTGGAATTGACATCTTTACTTTCCCGCAGGAGGTTGTTATGGTGTATTTATTTATTTATTTATTTAT